TAAGAACAACTAGAAAGAATGGGATTAAAGAACAATATCCAGTTTGGCAAAAGTTAAATTCTTGCAGTTTCAGGTGTAGCATCTGCAGATGTGGTATGATATGGGAGTGTTATAGGTCTGGGCAGTCCTGCCCTGACAGCCTTTCTCACTGTAGCCCCTGTGGCCTCCTAGGCGGGCTCAACTTGCTGCCCGTAGCTTCCCTTTGCAGATGTTGCCACTGTTGGTTTCTGCCATCTAACACCCTGGAGTCTCCGCTGCAGCTTAAGTCTCATCACACCGCGAGGCAACCTGCAGGGACTCTGACTCAAAAACACCGTCTAGACTCCTAGGCCTTCCTCTAAATGTTGGTGGAATCTTCCATGCATTCAGTTCGAGTTTTACATGCGTGAAAAAACAAACTCCATGTGGATGATGCTAAGACCTACTGAGAGCCTGGGCAGCAGCCAGGCCCATTTAGACCAAGTCAACGTAAGATAAACACAGTGGGAAAAGAAAGTAAAGCCCCTCAAACAAACCTAAGAGCTGTGCTTACAATGTTCCTTGGAGCTTCCTTCATAATGTACAATTTTCCAAATGAGTAAAATGCTTTTTCATGGTGCTAAGCTCCAAACAACCACATACATACTCTTTTTTACCCACTTTACATATTCCCTTTCTAGACAAACTACATTTTTCAACACAGCTTTTTACTCTAGTTCTTATTCCAAGCCCAGCTAAAAGCTGTGTGCAATGAACATGTCACAGTCTAAATATTAACCTGTCCAGAAATTCCTCTGCCAAATGAATGCCTTCATTTTGAATTTAGCCTCACTTAGTCTTAGGACATGGACAAAAATGTAGACAAATCCTTTCCCATAATGTAATACAGACCTTTCCAGTTTGTTTCCCAAGAGTCTCATCTCTACCGGAAATCTCATGAGCAGTCTTTATTTCTCTCTGCATTTTGGTCTTTCGAGCTCCCAACATTATCTATTCCTCATTAAACTCTGCTTGCAATATTCTAGGATGTCTCTGGTCTGTTTTCCAAACCTTTGGAGAACTCTTCCCCCAACGAAGTCTACCGTGTGTGTGTGTGTGTGTGTGTGTGTGCGCGCGCGCGTGTGTGTAAATAGCTGTTCTTGTCGCTGTGACAAAACACCTGGAATCCACAATTTAAAGGGAGGGCTAAATAGTGCTTCCATACGGTTTAGTAGCTCGTGGATGACAGAGAAAAGAGGAAAATCCTATCATGGTGGCCAGGGAACAGTACAGTGAGAAAGGGGACAGGGACCAGGTATACCTTGAAGGACAACCTTTTAATGATGTACTTCCTTTAACTAGGCCATATTTCATGTCTCCAGGATTTCTCAAAATAGCTTAATCTGTGAGAGACAGTCAATATTCCGGACATTAAAAAAAAATGGTGGATAGAATTCCATACTAAAAACAATGCCAGTTTAAAGGCACAAAGAGAAAGTCAAATGACTCTTCTAATTTATGATCAAAGATCACCTCTGTCACTGGTATATGTCCACTTTATATCCAGAATGAAGAAACATGTCACAAATAAGATAGACACCTCCTCTTTTCATTCAACAAAATACTTTCTAAATAACCTACCCAGGCATCATCAGCATAGCAGACAGTAAGCAAATCCACCACAGTTGGCCCAGGCTTTCATTTGGTAGATCTAATACCGACCTTACAGCTACAAAACTCCAAGTTTGAAACTGAAAAAATAAAAACAATTGACCAATAGCATGTTATTTTGATTTTTATTATACAGCATAAATCTAAACTCAGACAAATGCTTTATTTTGGAATCCAGACCATATGCAGAAATAGCAATTTTAAAAATTTTATAAAAAGACTTTAGTTGTAAATTGTCCCATAATAGATTTACAACAAAATCATACAAAAGAGCAAATTAAATATTAGAAATTAGAGGAGTCTCTCTCAAACTGAAGGAAGTTTCCTTAATAGCTTTCAATGTAGTCACTGGCAATCATAAAAAATTCAAGAAGTTCATTCATGTTTTATAAGCCCTAAATAGGAAAAAACTGAGGGAGCTCATTGATAATTTTCACAGCTTCATTGTAAAGTTCAAGATCTGAAAAAAAAATTTAAGCAAACACTTAATGTTTAGTTAACTCTGATGCCCCCAAAGAAAAGAGAGATGATAAACCATTTTGTTGTCTATTACGGTCATCTTCTGCAGGGTCATAATTTCAGTGTTACTGCACTCTTCAAGCTTTCAGTTCATATGTTAGAACATTCATTTCATCATATTTTAAGCCGTTTTTATTCTATAAATAGTATTTACTAAGTTTCCTTCACATGTAAGAAATCACTAGTTTAAAAGAAGGTCTCTTTTCATTTGATAGAAACTGAAAATATTCCAGGACTGATATTTAAGACCAAAACATATATAAATAAAAGTTTTTCTGCTATTTACATGAGACTACTAAGTAGTATATTTTACTTACCAAAGCGAGCACAATCTTCCTTAAACTGGATGTAAGATGCACACATTATGGTTGCCTTGGCTGTGACTTTTCCAACTACTTCCACAACTCCAGAGATTTCTTCATCAAGCTAAAATGTTGACCGAAATGTCAGGTATATTGACCTTTTCAACGGATAATGACTTGGAAAGCTGTTATACAGTTTCTCGTTTTCAAATCGTTTCACAGCTTACTAATTTTTCATTGTAAAAAAGAAACTTCAAATTTTATCAACATATAAACAGAAACACTGCTTGTCGAAAAATGTTGGCATACATAACTGGCAGGATTGTATGAGTCCTGTTTCCTTTAGAAGTGGCTTAAGGTCCAAAGATACATTTAACTTGAAGGCAAAGTAATTTAAAGAAACTGAGGACTTCAGAGTTCCCATAACAGGGATTGGTTTGAAACGTCACAGAAAAGGACTGTGTATAAATCTTACAACGTGTCTTCTAGTTAGAGCAAACAAACACTATATGGATTTGTCTTTATAAAAGACCATGAAGATGTTTTAAAGCACATAAAACATAAAATAAAACAAATTAAAGCAGAAAGTCGGCAGTGGTGCTGCAAGCCTTCCATGCCAGCACTCGGGAGGTAGAGAAAGGGAACTGGAGGCTAGCCTGCTCTACAGAGCTACATCTAGAACAGGTACCGAAGCTATAGAGACACCCTGTCTCAAAAAACAAAAACAAACAAAATATACATGTTTAGATACATATATATCTGTGTAAATTAAAAATTAAAAATAGAAAATAAAGGCGACTGGCACTTAGGAGGCTGAAGCGGGTGGGGGGCATCACTTCAAGGTCAAGCTTGTGAAATGAAAGAAGTAGTTTGAAAAGAAGATTTTCTGTAAGTACTTTTGGAGTATTTTTTTAAGTAATAAAAAATTGACATACAATCAATAGTTAAGGGACATACTCAGAAACTTGGAGCTCCAAGAATCAGTATAGGTTAGACAAGGAAGGAAAATATGACAGCATGGTTTGATTCTAAAGCTCAGGAGGTTTAACAAGTGCCAGCGTCACACACCCATCCCCAAATCAGAAAATAAAAAACCAAACGGAAATTAAATATGAGGCATCACTTAAAACATACTGGCTCCATCAATTCAATGGTTCCATTTTTTCCTTCTCCATCTGAAAGAATGAACATTTTTCCTGTGGGATGAATCTAAAAAGGAAAACAAAAACCCACATAGATTTAGAAAATAGAATCTACAGAAACTAAATTGTTAAAAAAAATGACATTTTATTTGAACATAAAGTAACTGTTTTTCGGACAGTTTATTTGGTTCAAGTTAAAATCTTGTTACCAGATCTGATTATTGGAAGAAAGCCCAGTTAATTTTGAATTTCTAGTAAACAACGAATACTTGCTTAGTGGAATTCTGCTGACATTCATGATGTACATAGTACAGCTCACAAAAGGTATGCTTTTAGAATTAGGAATGGAGAACTAAAGAGCTGGTTGCCAGATCTGAGGACTTCTCTTGGGGATCTGAATTGAGCTCTGCCACTTGTGACCCTGAACATTTTAGTTAATTACCAACACTGGCTCGGTCAGGCTATCTGTGAAGTTAGAATAGCATTCCTTTCATTTAGGAATGCGTGAATGAAATGAACTAGTAAGTCCTTGCAAATGATTATCTTTTCCTCGGCTTTCTCAGTCACTGCTTCCGAGCCTTTGGGCTTGTTTCTTCCCTACAGGAGGGCTAGCTAGTGGACGTCAATAGGATATGGGAGGGGCTACCCACGTTTCACGAAGAAGCGACCGCAACATGGAAAACAGGCCCATTAACAGAGACGGTTGCAAAAGACTAGGAAACAGATTCATCAGCCAAGTATGGCTAAACCAAAAACTCAAGACAGTGGAGCCAGGTTGGTAATTTCAACTAAATCCAGAGTGGGGGGCGGGGGGGCTGGAACTCAAAGTTAGCTGTTTCGAAAACACTCTTTTTGCGACACAGAAGAAGCGGCACCCTGACGGAGCTGCAGTGGCGACTCTTGCTTGTGAAAAATAAAGCAAGGTGGAATGCAATGCTGCTGATGGCTACCTGCTGTCCCCCTCCGCTTCCCACCCCGCAGCCACTCCGGGTGGCCACGGCGCCCCGCTCTCTTGCCCAGCCCGCGCACCTTTTCCAGCCTGCCCACAAAGCACACGGGTCTGTCGATGAACTGCGTGAGCATGCTGGCGTTGACGCGTGCTCTGGGGAGCTCCAGTATGTCCACCATGATTGTGCCGCCAACACTTGGAGCCAGCGAGACCGCAGAGTTAGGGCTGACTCCGAGCCGGCCGCCGCGCCAACACACGCAGATTGCCCACTCACCAATCAGGGGAGACCTGCGCTCCAGCTCCACCAATCAAATCCACAGAAGCGTCAAGTTACATTGCAGGGGCTGGAGGTGACGGGCGCCATACGTCCGGAAGTACGGGTCCACTGCCTAGTGACGCACGGCGTTCCGGAAGTTGCTGGGGCTGGGAAGAGTGGGCGGTGGAGGCGGGACTTGGAGGGGCGGGGCTGAGGCTGCGGACCCGGGATTTAGGCCGGCCGGACGGCGACTTGACCCCGGAAGTAGGCTAAAGGACCGCGGCGGCGGGCGGCGGCGGGCAGCGGCGGCTCTCAGGTAGCCCTTCCTTGTGTGTAGTGTCTCAATCTTCGTGCTTCTCTCCTCCTGAGGGCTGAGCAGTCGGGGTAGGGGGCGGAGTCAGGTGCCGGGTCCCGGAACGTCGTGACTCCAGCGGTGACAGTTATCCGCTTCTGCGTGGGAGGCGCGGGTGCGTGCAGAACCTGGGATTTGGGCTTTTATTTTTGATCTAGTTCTACCTAAAGGGTATCAGCGTCAGTCTTTATCTCCCTCACTCAGGAGGTTGTTGCTAAGAGACTGAAGTCCATTTTATATAGAACTGTGTCATGTTTTCCCACCAGCTGGAAGAGGTGCCGACCGTTTCTCTACAGCTAGGAACATTTCTAGCTTTGGCGGTACGGAGGAGTCCGTTTCCTCCACTTGCTGGGTGTGAGCGAACACATGCATGTAGACTCCGGTGAGGAGGACCGCTGGGCAGGACCAGAGGAGACAGAGTTCACCAGCTGTTGGACCCAGGCTATTCCTCCGACAGTGCCACATTTTCTCCCTCTGCGAAACGAAGGATTGACTGATTTGCAGGTCCTGGCTAATTCTGAGTTGTAATATCTAGCTCCCTTAAATACTTTGAGGCATAGAGCCGACTGTCTGAAAGGCATTTTTTTTTCCCCCAAGATTTGGGAAAAATCTCGGATGTGCCCCTGGGTCATATTATAACTGGAAGCTGGTGGCTATTGATTTTAGTGATGTCACCAATGGGGATTGGTACCGAGAAATTTCATAAGGAATGCACAAGAAAATACCTTCAAAAGAGGTTGCAGAAATTAGAACATAATATTAATTGGGTCTCGTAATTATGTGGAAACAGTGTCTGAATTTTCCTAAAGCCACGGACTTATAATTAGCCTTCAAATTAAGAATCCTAATTGGAGTTATAGTGTACTCCTGCTGTTGTTTAAGATCTGTAAGGATCTTCGAGATTTTTATGTGGCAATTTAAGATTGAAATCCCGTGTACCCTGTATAAATGATTGTTACCTTTCCTTAGTGTTTATACTTCATGTTTGTCTTAATTCTGTTGTTTCTAAAACAAGTTTAATTAATTGTGGGATGCATTTCATTTGTGTGTGGAAAGTCAGTATTACAACATTTGGGGTACACCCCTACCTTTTCTGTCCTGGTGCAAGCGCCCTTTAGCTCTGTGAAAACTAGCCACCAGGAAGTAGTTGCAACGTTAGTTCAGCTTGTTTGCTCTGTGTACTGTTAGCAATTTGAACCACGTGTTCATCAATAGGTTCTTACCGTCTAGTTACGGTGGACAACCAAGAGCAATGGAGGAGGGCTGTATTGCTGGGTGCCTCTAGGGCCTTCCCCACCTCGGGAAGGAATCTCACATCCAGCACTGAGATTTTCTTTTAACAACCCTTGTCTTTGGGGGAGGCACTCTTCGCCCATGCAGGGTACCTCCATTTAAACTCTTTTTCCATAATGTTTTTCAGTTACCTTACAAAGTACAGGGTTTCCTTGAGGTTTTTTCATATGTCCTCAGTCTTAGACTGTTGTAGCCCCTGCTTTACCTCCATTCTCTGTTCCCATCTCTGCTTAAACCTTTTATCCCCAGTATTTGCCCCCCAACAAACTGCCTGGGTTACCTCATTCCATATAATATTTGCCAGTTCCGTCCATTTTCTTATAAATATCATGATTTCATTGTGTATATGCAAACCTTTTCATTTTCTGTCCATCACTTGGAAGACATTCAGAGTGATTCCATCTCCTCGCTATTGCCAACAGAGCAACATTGAACATGGATGTCACAGTTTATAAGCTCAGGAGTGGTATGGCTAGGTCATGTGGTAGTTCTGTTATTTTAGCTTTCTAAGAAACCATATACTGACTTCCTGTCTTAGTTACTTTTCTGCTGCTGTGATGAATTCATGACCAAAGCAATGTGATATTAAAGGGTGTTTGGCGCACATATCCTGAATCATAGTCTGTTGAGGGAAGCCAGCTTCTGGGGGTAGGAACCTGCTGCAGACCGTGGAAGAGTGCTGCTTATTGTCTTGCTCCTCATGGCTCGCTCAGCCTGCTTGTTTATAGGACCATCAGCCCAGAGTGGTACCCATCCACTGTGGCTGGCCCCTTTCACATCAATCACCAGTTAATTAAGAAGGTGCTCTGCAAGTTTGTCTGCAGCCCAATCTTATGGAGAGACTTTTTCCAGTTGAGACTCCCTCCTCTTAGATGACTCTAGCATTTGTCAAGTTGACATCAAACTATTGAAGACACTTCCGTGGGGTCCTCGCTACTTTGCATTTCTACCATCAGTAGGAAAGTGTTTACCTTTCCTGGTATCCTCCCCCATGTATTTTTGATAGCAGTTATTTTGGCTGGGATGAGATGGAATCTCAACATAGGTTCCTATATAGCTAATAATGTTGAACTCTTTAAAAATGTTTAAATTAGCTGTTTGTGTTTTTGTTTTTTCTTCTGACGATGCTTTGTTCAGTTCTATACCTCCCAGTTTTTACTTTTGATTGGGTTATTTGTTTTCTTGAGTTATTTGTATATCCTAAACAGCACTTTGGGTATATAACTAGCAAAGATTTTCTTTCCTTTTGTAGGTTGCCTCTTCATTCAATTGACATTTTTTTTTTTTGCTATACAAAACCTTTTGAGTTTCATGAGATTCTATTTGTTGATAGGTCTTATCGAGAATGATAGACATTCTATTCGGAAAGTCTCTACTATGCTTGTGTCTTAGTTAAGGTTTTATTGCTGTGAAGAGACACTATGGCTACAGCACTTCTCGTAAAAGAAAACATTTAATTGGGGCTGGCTTACAGTTCAGAGGGTTAGTTTATTATTGTCTTCCTGAGAGCATGGCAGGATTCCGGTACATGGTACTGGAGAGATAGTTGAGAGCTCTGCATTCTCATAGGCTCTACATCATCATAGACAGGCAGCAGAAGAGGGGATACCACTGGGACTGACTTGAGCATTTGAACCCTCAAAGCCCACCCGCAGTGACATAGTTCCTTCAACATGGCCACACCTGTTCCAACAAACCACACCTCCCAATAGTGCCATTCTTTATGAGCCTGTGAGGGCCATTTCATTCACACTACCATATCTATATATTGATATGCAATCCCTACTTTTTTTTGTAGTAGTTTCAGAATATCAGGTCTTACGTTGAGGTCCTTGATCTGTTTGGGGTTGACTTTTGTGCAGTGCAGGAAATAAGGATTCGAGTCATTCTTCTACATGTGATAACCAGTTTCCCTGCCACCATTTGTTGGAGATGCTACCTTTTCTGCAGTGCATGTTTTGGCATATTTGCTAAAATTCAGATGACCATAGTTGCATTGGTTTACTATTCCACTGATGCAAGTGTCTCTTTCTGTGGCAATATTATTTTTTAAATTACTATAGGTGTACCTTATAACTTGAAATCAGTTGTGGAGATACAACAGTATTTTTTTTTTTTGCTCAACTATATAGGGTCATTTGTGCTTCCATATGAATTTTTAAAAAATATTTATTTATTTATTATGTATACAATATTTTGTCCACATGTATGCCTGTAGGCTAGAAGAGGGCACCAGACCTCAGTACAGATGGTTGTGAGCCACCATGTGGTTGCTGGGAATTGAACTCAGGACCTTTGGAAGAGCAGGAAATGCTCTTAACCACTGAGCCATTTCTCCAGCCCTTCCATATGAATTTTAAGGTTGGTTTTCCATTTCTGGGGAAAATATTGCTGGAATTGCCCCTCCCTTATTACATTGAGTCTATAGATTGCTTTTGGGGTGGATAGCCATTTTCATATTGATTTCATATTCATACTCTGCAGGCAATGAGATGTCCCTGTCAATTCTAGAGTTTTGGAAGTTGCTTATACTGTATTTCCTGTTTAGTTAGGTAATATTATATCTTTATGGAATCTTTGATGGAGTTGAAGAATTTATAGTTATAGTTTTCCTTAGTTATAATAAAAGGTAAAGTAGATATGTGAAAGTTAAAACCTTTTTTATTTAAACAGATAAGGGGAGGTGATGTAGTCCCCTCTGTATGTTGTGAATACCAGTGGTTAATAAAGAAACTGTCTTGGGCCTACGCAGGGAATTTTGGTAGGCAGGGAAAACTAAACTGAATGCTGGGAGAAAGGAGGGGTTAGAGAGAAGCCCGAGACAGACACTGAGAACTTTACCTAGTAGGCCACTGCCAAGTGGCAATACACAGATTAATTGAAATGGGTTAAATTAAGATGTAAGAGTTAGCCAATAAGAAGTTAGAGCTAATGGACCAAGCAGTGTTTTAAATAATATAGTTTCTGTGTGATTATTTTGGGCTGAGCAATCAGGAACTAACTAGTGGCCTCCTTACAACAATTCTGCTCCGCGAGCTTTTTCTGTTGACATAAAGACTATGGTTCTTATCTTTTGTTTTTGTTTTTTGAGATGGGGTTTCTCTGTTTAACAGTCTTGGTTGTCCTAAAACTCACTTTGTAGACCAGTCCGGCCTTGAACTCACAGAGGTTCTGCCTGTCTCTGCCTCCTGAGTGCTGAGATTAAAGGCGTACGTCTACCACCACCACCCACCTCACAATTCTCATCTTAAAGAGAATACGACATAGTTTATTCTGAAGCCAATAAGAGTGAGCATGGCCTGGGAGCATGCATTTAGGTCACCCCTGATTCTGTGTTCCAGTGTGGAAGCAGTTTCACAGAGTTTGTATAGTTTCACAGAACAAGGAAGTCCTAAGTCAAAGCAACTTCACATACCTTTGTGGGTGCACCAGAGAGGTGGGTCCAGCGAGGCGGGGTGTGGGGCTATTTTCTAGGCCTAAGATGCGATCTGATGGCATTCTTGGCTCTTGGAAGCTGGTCTTCTGCTGAGTTAATAGCTTCTAAGAGGTTTTTATTTATTATCAGGCAGTGTTACTTCAGATACAGTATGGGGCAAGGAATGGCTGTTCCAGAAGGCTAAAACTAGCGCAAGATAAAGTAATTAGCCTCTGAATCTAGAAAACTCCAGTCT